TATATATTGTCATCAGACCTTTTTATTTTTAACTGTGCTTTTTCTATTCTGTGCTTTTATATAATGTGTTTCTACCTGACTTGCCTGTGTGTGTATTTATGCACCTGAATCTAAAAGGATTTACAACATAATTTTAAGGCTTCCAAAATGAGTTTGAAAACTTTGTTGAAAACTTCACAATTGTTAAAAAGAATGTGTTTATTTTCTGGATTAAATTAACCTTTACATACAACAGTTGTGCAAATATCATGAGTGCATTTGATCATTCTTCAGTTGTGTCTGCTGGTTGAAATTAGATTTAGTATCAAWCAAAATATTTGGCAAAAAGAAGTTTTTATTTTACCTTATTTAAACAATTCTTTGTATTTCCTGTATTATTATAAGTAAAGCCACTTTTGTGTCTTTTTTTTTCTTCTTCTTGCAGATATCTTGCCACTCGTGAAATAACTGTGAGTCTCAGTCAGAAAGAAGGATGTGGGGGTTTATGCTTTTCAGCTCAAGAGAAAGATGAGACTGGTGGTGTATTGAGCTGTTTTTGTTCCGTGAGACTACAATGTTTCCTTCTGCCTGCACATCAAATAGGACGGTCATGTTCAGAAAAAAAAGTATGGTGTAAGCTATTTATCATAACTCTGGTTTTATTTGGTCTTTCAACGCAATTTAAAAACTGTTGTTTATTTTATTTTCTACTTTTGACACATATTAAAAAATAGTCACAGAGAAGGTGTATGCTTCCGGCTAGAACGATTTAAATAGGTCACGTGACAAGGCTCCAGAGGGTTAACATACTGTCAGACTTTTTAAATACCGTCATCATATTTTAATACCGATGCATACCACAATATCATCATACCACTCAAGCTTAATGTTTATGTTTGGTATGTGAATCTTACCAGTTCACTCTGGAGTTTGAGAATCAGCTCATCCTTCTCTCTCAGTTGTTGCAGCAATGCTTCCTCTTTATTGAGATCCTGAGCATGAAAAAAGGAGTTACTATGTTAAAAAAAAAGAATGAATAAAACTGTAGATTTATTTAGGAGATCGTATTCTCACAACAAAACAAAAACAAATACAAACATAAAGTCAAGGAGGACAACAGACAAAGGTGTTTGTGTGCTTGCAAGTGTTTTATTTGTATTTATGAGGGTATTTGTTTCCAGTCTTTCTATGCAGGATGTGTGRATATGCAATAAAGTTGTCATTTTGTTTAGGCTGCTGGAATGTGATCTGTTCTAGCAACATCTTTGTGATAAACTTGATGTATCCAACGGTAGCCATCTCAAACACTTTAATATGACCTTCCACTGTCAGGAGATATTACTGTAGGGAAGATGGAGGGGAGCTACAACGACAAAGGACATACAGTACAGAATAATAATAATGCTAATAAAAATAACTTTATTCTTACAGCGACTTTCACAAGTAACAATATAGACTGGGGCAAAAGAAAATGTTTTATGAATGGTTCTAAAAATGTCTCCAAACTCATTTTCGCTGTCATGGTTTTCTAACACCTAGTCATCTTTCGACCCAGGCGACTGGAAGCCACTAGAGAATTCCTCAGAGGGAGGTCAACGGTAAGAAGTTAAACCTAGCAGTTTTTATTAAAATATACAACTTAATTGTAAAACTGACAGGTGTTTAAACTCTCAACTAAGAGCGACAGAAAGAAAGAGACAAGTAAGTAATGCGATAAGATGGATGGAAGAAAATGGCAGACAGTCATTACCTCGTCAAGGACATAAAAGCAAAAGAAGAGAKGAGGGGTAAGATAACAGGAGGAAAATGATGGGGGAAACTTAGGGAAAGGTGGGGGGGGTAGCAAAGCAAAGGAGAGGACAGAGAGGGCCTCAGGCTGAGTATGATGGTCTAAAACTATGGGGAYCTATCTTGCTAAAGGACACAGCAAGTTGGAGAGAGACCACAGGGAGGCATAGAGCTACACCATCATCTTTTAAATGACCTTCTTGATGCAAAACCACACAGCTAGGCTGGAACATTTCCTCGAGATAAATCAAAATTCAGAGTAGAGAAAATGTAACCTGTCCATGATTACAGAAGGTCTGTAAATCATCAGGGAGGGAAAAAAATTATGTCAAATACCTGAAAGAAAAACTACCAAAACCTTATTTGCCCTAGAAGAAACTTAGCCACTTTATCAACTTTGTGATAAATAAAATTTACATGTGATATGAATGTCTGATCGTTTGCCAGGAAAAGTTCATGTTCCCCAGTTTCTGACATTTGAAAGGGAAGCTTGGGGTCAGAAAGTGTTCATGTAGCATGCACTTGTTTTATTTCCTTAACGCTTTACAAGTAAACACTTTCCACTCAAACCTGGCAGCTACAGAGTTGGTAGCTACTTTCCATGAATTTTAAAAACCAATATGATCCACATGGTCTATAAAAAGTTTTGCCGTTTATTTATTTATTTATTTTTCATTTTTGGCTCCTTTATTCGATCTGTCCAACTGATGATGAGGTCTGTGCTTACTTCAAAGAGACACAAACTAAAAGCTTTCCCAAGTGCCGCCATGTGATAAACCCTATAAAATACCCTTTTCATTAGCAAACTGGAAAACAATTAACAGAAACAAAACTTGCTGGTGTTGAATTAGAATTCACCCCATTTCCCTGGCTTTACAGAGGAGATAARGTTATATATAGATAATAGGAGTGTTTATTTTTCATGCTGCCTGAGCAAACAGGAGCAGCACAAAAATGACTAGCAGGAGATTTAGATGAGACTGAAAGAGTGGTGCCATGGTGTGACAATTACTACATTAGTCAGCCTCTAAAATTATTCTCACCCAAATAGAAATGAAGGATGAACTAAATGAGCAAACTGACTAAATCCACACATCAGGTATTCTGTTGTACCTTACGAGGAACATGACATTCAATGTGTAGATGTGTAAAACTTGTGAAAACTTGAAAATGTTCCTCCATTTTTAAGAGATTATACACTACTTTAAAAAATAAACAAGCTAAGGATGTACATAGTTCAATGTTGTGATGCTGGACAGGTAATTTTAACCTTAATGCGATAGTTCAAAATACATCCACTGCTCTAACGTGGTCATTTGGCTAATATCCCCCTTGCTGAGCAGCTCTACTTACTGCACTGCAGAAGTCATTTAAATGGAGAAAAATATCAACAAACTCAACGGTAAAATGAGAAAGTTTACTTTGGTGCTGAAAGAAGCACAACAAAAAGCATTAAGTCTCCCATCAGGTGGCATTCCGACCAATTTTTCAAGCCCAAATTGAATATAGAAGTCTKTGGCAAAAAAGTGGGGCATGTGAATTTATTTCTAATGTGATTGGAATGGCCTCAGTGGGGACAAATCTGATCAAAACCATTGAAGTGCATCCACTTCTGTAAAGAGATATGCTTGTGTAAAGAGGGTGAGGCCTCTTAATAATTGCAATCAGTAGCCAGCTGAAGGGGCACAGAAATGAATTATATTCACTGTTTAGAAAAAATAAAGTACATTTTCTTACTTTTTAAAAAAACATGCCATCAGAAAATGTGAAGGTTATTTGTTATCTTAACACACATCGTCACACGAGTTGAAAGGAAATTCAATAAATAAGAATATTACTAAATGTTTTACCTGTGCATACAGCTTTATTAGATCGGCCTTTGCACTTTATGAACCAAAATTGCACGATTTAAAAAAATGAAAAAAACTTGAGGGGAACAGCTCATGGCATTTAAAGCTGTACCCTACTCAATCATAACAGTTTCTAACCATTGCTTTGTTTTAAACAAGACGGCAATGTGTTCAGAGGTGTCTGAGAAGATTTTAGAGATTTTTTTTTCACAAACGTAAAAAGAACAGAGCAAAAGAGACAAATYTGAAATAATGAGCTTTAAGCTTTAGTAAAGGTCTCTACAGTCTCAGCTGGGTAAACGTCACTTAAGCCCAGATGGAAGCAGTTGCTATTTTATAAAAAAATGTTTTTAAATGCAATGCACATTTAGTCTTAAAACTGGTCAAAACGTTTTGACRATAAAAARGWATGCACTAAAATTAGAACAGACTTMAACCCAGCAAAAAACATAARTAAGAATTCATTGCAAAATATATAAGAATAATTTGARGTATATTTGAACATTTTGCTATCATTACATTGAAGGACGAGTAATAACTACCTCTGAGAAGCTTCTCCCACACTTTTTGCATCAAACTAAMATTTTTCTATTTAGTCTACATTTAACGAAGTTTTAAGTACATGATGGATGAACAAAAATCATAAATGGAACTTATTAATGAAATAAACATCAAACAAATTTTGATTTTCATAGGTGGTTTCCTTATGAGCGACTCGTATTTCTCCTTATTAAATTCTGGTTTTARCCACTTTAATACCTTCAAATTCTGGATTTATTTGAAGGGGTAAAAGTTAACTGATGTGAAAATTTAATTTAATGCAATCTGATATTCCATTTTCTAATTTACTAAATCTGATTGTATTACTTTAAATTGGACTGGATGTAATTACTGTAGATTTGACTATAAATCTGAATTTATTGAATATATTTGTAAGAAAGCCACATTGAAAATAAATTAATTGAAGTAGAACATGTGGCTAAACTGAGTTTCACCTGTTGTGTAGCATCTTAAGATGACTTTTGTTGTGAACTGGTTCTACTGTATATAAATAAACTGAACTGAACTGAATTCTTGAACAAACACGTACTTGTTGGAAATGAGAATGCCCACACCTACAAACTAATAATAAACAAATGCATTTAGGCTGTGGGAAGAAGTGCTAGCTAAATGAAAAACTAAGTTATGCACAGAAAATAAACCAAAAAATGGTCAAACTCCAAGAGAAATTGAAGCACTAAATTAGGAATCATCTTGCTGTGAGACAATGTTAACCATCACCATGTAAATTGTTTCTCTATCAAGAGTTGTCAAAAACACTTTCAAACTTTAAATTGAAGATCAACATCACTTACCTAAAGGACCATTMTTGCATCTTCCAAGATACATTTATGAAAACATTATCTTTGGGTAAAGAAATGGAAACTTTTGTCTYTGCGTGTAGGCTGCTCCAGGCAAACGAACACTGGTTACAAGTGCACTGCAAGTTTAATTTTGTTCCGAGTACTTTGTGTGTTAAGTTCATGTTATCAGTTTAAAGCTGATTAAGGCCCTACACCTAAGTCTTTAAGATGGAAATATAACTACTTACCCTTGCTTATCTCATAGAGCTGCTTAGACAATTTGCAACAAGAACTTTCCATTAGAGTTATAGTTAGTGCTGAATTTTAAATTCACATCTTACATATCATATCTTGTCTTCTGGTCTGATTAAAACTTTACAAATTAAAATGATGTAAAACAACTGTCAGGCTAGAAAAGTGTATCAAAATATATTGGTTGCTGATGTTAATCTTTCCTTTCATCAGGGATTGTCACCAAGTTAAAAGATTTGAAAAATGTTTAACCCTTTCTGACAAGCTAGGCTGGAACGCGAAGCCTCAGGATTACACAATCGTGGCACTGTCCACCGAGCGACCGTAGCCCCTTAAACTATTTCTGCTCTTGCTCTTTTAAATTAGCACCCAGAACAAGCTACCCTGCTGGCTTTAAGATTGTACTTTTTTTATTAATCAAACATTCACAGACTCCCACCATCTTAATTATCTCCTTCTAATAACTCCTTGTAGACCAACCAGGACAAAGAGACTACAGATCTCTGGATTATACTTAAATTAAATAAAACGTCAGTGTGAGCTTTGGTTTATCAAAACCTTCTATTACAAATTTTAGATTTTTAGAGCACATTTCTCTTTAATTAAAACAGATTTAGTCACGTTTTCTTCTGAATAAGATTCTGATACATTTGCCAATACAGATATAACACTCTAGAGATTTAAAATCACTTCAACAAGAGCTTCCCAGCCAAAACAAGCATTAGCTCAATAAAATAGTAACAAAGCACACATATACTG